AGCACCTTACTCGAGCACTACTTGTCTCTGACGGACCCCAGCGCCTACTGCGTCATCCTCTGGGCCCATGGTTCGATCCTCTCGACAACTGGAACTGGTTATGGTCTTCTACCCACGGATTGTTCCATCGCCAGGGATACTCGTTCTACGCAATTGTCCGGGTGCAAACGACCACATAACGAGCCTACAGACAACGGCGCCAGCGGCTTGCCGGCCCCCTTTTGGACCCAACCACTCCCAGCGGACTTGTGCCGAGCTACCGTCCACATTACGCCTTCGCTAGGTACTCTAGCCCTCACCGGCATTGGGAGAGCACCGCTGCAGCCGCATCACGACTCTCAACCGTCCTTGCTGGCCGCCTGGATGGCTGCCTCAGCCAAGGTGACCGAGTATGTTGGCTGGACCCCAGAAGAAATAGAGATCGATGGCAATGAAAGCCTCCTTGCTGAAACCCTACTCGAAGACCGGCTGTGTGTGATCAGCGACGGCTCTTATAAGCTCGGTCTGGGCACGGCAGCGGTTCAACTGCTTCCACGTAAGGGTGGCAAGGAACGTATTATCGTTCGGTGCTCTACCTGATGACCAGAGCGCGCACCGGAGTGAATTGATTGGCCTACTGGCCGGTATCATGGTTGTTGATTGGCTCCTGGACCAGTGGGCAACACTTCGATCACCACCCCGCGTCAGGATTGTGTGCGATGGATTTTTGGCGTTGCTCAACACCTTTAGTGACAATCGAGTCACACCGCAACAAGCCCAGTTTGACCTGGTCTCAACTATCCGGGAGGCACTGGTCCACTCTAGGGCCTCGTGGGAACCTAGCCACGTGTACGGTCACCTTGATAAGGCGACATCCTTTTTGTGTCTCTCTTGGTGGTCCAAACGAAATGTGGAAGTGGATGCGTGGGCGGTCGCTTATCGCCACCAGCTCGAAGCTTCACACCGATTGCTCGCACCTAACGCTCGTTTCTTTACCGAATTGGCTGCCCTCTACATCGGGGACGTCAAACAGTCGCGATTGAATCCAGAACAGGTCCAGGAACTGGTGGCGCTGCCTGCTCTACGCAAGCGATGGCACG